GACAATCTGAAGAGCTTTGAGGACCAGTTTGGCTCGTTCGGGTAGAAGCTTGTCATTCCGAAATCGCACATTCCCTGTCATTGCCAACATGCCGGCGATCTACATGGCAGTTGCCTTTGTCGGGTTGCTTTCGGCCTATGCAATCGACGCCGGCGTCGCACTGCACGGGAGCAGTTGCACGAGTGGCGTGCGGACGAAAGCCGTCGAAGACGCCTATTTGCTCCAATATCAGATCGGATATCCGATTACGTATGAGAAGAATGGCACTGGAGAGTGCAAGTGCAATGCGCCCAGAAGCAATACCGCCACACAGACATGGACTGTACTGTCTTTAGACAATAGCGCTAATCAGACAGATTGTGAGGATCTTTGCACCGAGTGGTACGAATGCGTAGGTTATCCGTAAGGGCTTCGCCCCATGCCGCCGGCCCCCTGTTTCGGACAATGGAAGATGCAAAAGCTAAATCAAGAGGTCTGGGCGCCGCCGTGAAGCAGTGTCGGGACCTGATTGTTTTTCGACCCTGACCCCACAGATCTGCGTGAGGGGTGCCGCCGAATTTCAGAAATGTGGCAAATCCCTCGTGTTTTTGGACCCTGACCCCGCCGATCTGCGCGAGGGGTGCCGCCAAATTTCAGAAATGTGGCAAATCCCATGTGTTTGGGGACCCCGACCCTGCCGATCTGCGTGAGGGGGGCCGCCCGCCGAATCTCAGAAATATGGCAAAAATCCCCTATGTTTTTGGACCCTGACCCTGCCGATCTGCGTGAGGGGGGCCGCCGAATTTAAGAAATGTGGCAAATCCCTTGTGCTTTTTGACCCTAATCCGCCGATCTGCGTGAGGGGTGCCGCCGAAATTCAAAATGTGACAAAAATCTATTGTGTTTTTGCCCCCTGACCCCGCAGATTTGCATGAGGGGTGCCATCGAATGTCAGAAATGTGGCAAATCCCCTTTGTGTTTGGACCCTGACCCTACGGATCTGCATGAGGGGTGCCGCCGAATTTCAGAAATGTGGCAAATCCGCTGTGTTTTTGGACCCTGACCCTGCCGATTTGCGTGCGGGGTGCCGTCGAATTTCAGAAATGTGGCAAATCCCTTATGTTGTTGGACCCTGCCGATCTGCGTGAGGGTTGCCACCGAATGTCAGAAATGTGGCAAATCCAATTTTCGTTTTGCACCCTGACCCCGCCGATCTGCATGAGGGGTGCCGCAGAATTTCAGAAATGTGGCAAATCCATTGTGTTTTTGCACCCTGACCCCGCCGATCTGCGTGAGGGGTGCCGCCGAATTTCAGAAATGTGGCAAATCCTATGCGTTTTTGGACCCTTGCCTGCTTCTTCCCACCCGCTCGCTACCCTCCCTCCCATGGCGGCAGTGCCCTGCACAGCGCGGCTTCGGCCCGGTGCCTGGCGCTTGCACCTTGCCGCCTCGGCGGCCCCGCGGTCCTTGGCGCTGCGCGGCTTCGGCCTGGCCCTTGGAACTGCGGAGCGGCAGCGCAACGTGTGCGGCTCCAGCCCTTTCCCACGCGCTTGCCACTGCGGGGCAGGCGTCCTCCCTGCAGCACACCGGCACCCTGCCGGTCCTGGGCGGCACGTTACCGGCTCCGCCCGGCAGCCGCGCCTCAGACTGCGGCTATTTGTCCCTGTACGTGGCACCTTGGACTACCACGGCCTGGGCCTCTCCTGCATCCTGCTCGGTGGCGCAACGTTGCACTCCGGCCCAGCGGCGCTCCTCATCCTCTCGGGCGTCGCCCTGGATGCGTGGCGCGTCCTCTCCCGCAGCTTATGGGGCTGGTGTACATGATGCGCCGCTGACGGCACCACCGCCAGCTTTTTACCTCCCGGCACTTCGCCTCCGGGTTCATGCTCAAGGCGTTCTTTTGCATGCACTTCGCTTTCGGCACCGCCTGTTCCCGGGGCTTTGTCCTCTCTTGGCCTCAGGCCCCGCCTTCTATTTTCCTTCTCTGTTAATTAGCTCTGCGCTGCCCGCTTAGCTTCGATCGGAAGAGGCTCGCTCTCGACCCGCGATTCAAAAATATGTTTTTGGACCCTGAACCCGCCGATTTGCGTGAGGGGTGCCACCGAAAGTCCGAAATGTGGCAAATCCCATGTGTTTTTGGACCCTGACCCCGCCGATCTGCAAGGGGTGTCAACTGTTACCCGCCAACAATTCAGACGACACGCTCAGGGCGTGGTTTACATGCCCGTTTGGGGTTTCCCCCCTCGCGCGGTCCATCAACAAGGAACAGTAAGCAACAACAAGTCAACAATGAACAGTAAACAGCAAGAAGCAGAACTGTAACAGTGGAAACTGGAAGCTGCAACTGGTACAGGAAACTGCGAAGCTTCGGCCTACAGCCTGGTGGCCCCGCAAGGAGGCCGGCGGATTTCTTCCGTTTTGATCCGATGGTCTTTCCAGTTGTTCTGACAGAGAAGAGCACGTGCTATCTCTACTATCAAGTTGGCGCCAAGAATACGATCCCTTTTGGAGAGGCCGGGTTCGCCAGTTATGAGAGTGAAAGCCAGGTCATTCAAAATCCAGGAGCGGGCATGTGGGTGGATGATGTTGCTCTGACGACCACCTGCAGCGCGGAAGTGGGCGCGGTCATATCGCCCGGGTTTTCGGGAACTGCAAGCGGGTGCCACTTGAAGATATACCCGACGCCTGCCCCGACGCCAGCCCCGACGCCAGCCCCGACGCCAGCCCCGACGCCAGCCCCGACGGCGGCCCCGACGGCGGCCCCGACGCCAGCCCCGACGGCGGCCCCCACGCCAGCCCCGACGCCCGTGCCAACGCCGACGCCAACCGCGGCGACGCCGGCTCCCACGGCGCCGCCCGCGGCGGGAGGGGCCGGGACACCGGCTCCCAGTCTCGTCGCCGTGTCGGCCGCCGGGGACCCGCACCTCGTCAACGTGTACGGCGAGCGCTTCGACCTCGTGAGGCCGGGCAACCACACGATGCTCGCAATCCCGCGAGGCGTGACGCCACGGAGGGCGCTGCTCCACGTGGAGGCGCACGTGGAGCAGCACGGTGGGGCGTGCGCGGACATGTACATCGACATGTTGGGCGTCGCTGGCAGATGGGCGGCCAGGCAGTATCTCAACGGCAGGGGCGTGCAATACTACGCCCGGAAACGGGATGGCCGGCTGTCGGGCTGGAGGAAGTACGGGTCCGTGCACATGAAGGTAGTCTGGGGCAGCACTGCGTCTGGGATACAGTATTTGAACCTGCTCGTGAAAAACCTGAGCCACGCCAGGTACCCCATCGGGGGTCTGCTCGGCGAGGACGACCACTCTCAGGATGCGACTCCGAGGGCCGACTGCAAGCGGGTCACGGAAGTCTGAGCTGGCTGGTGTTGCGAGATTCCGAGGAGCACGGATTACCAACCAGCCGACATTTGCGCGCGTTGCACTGGCTAGATGTTGCGCAGGCGTGTGTGTGTGTGTGTGTGTGTGTGTGTGTGTGTGTGTGTGTGTGTGTGTGTGTGCGTGTTTGACCCACTGCTCTCGCAAAGGAAAAATCGATTGTCACGACGAGTCCAGCCTGGGAGCAATGTCGGTCTCGTCGGACCTTCTTGTGATCTTCCTGGGCCGCCTTTGATGACCTCTTGGGCTGTCTCGGGGCTCTCTTGGGCCGTCCTGGGTTCCTCTTGGGCAGTCTCAGGGCCCTCCTTGGAGCCTTCCAGGTAATTCTTCGGGGGGTGCAGGGGGGGATCTGACGAAGTGGGGGACTGGGAAAGGAGGGCTTGCGAGGTCCGCTGCGCACAGCCGGTATCGGCTCCGCCGCGCCGAGCACATCTCACGACGCACTGGTGCCTCCAGCGCCGGGAGGCGCCAAGAAAACCAGCTGCGTGCAGTTGGTTCACTACCCCCCCGGGGGGGGTACGAACAGAAGTAAGGATGATTCGAGAAATTGTAAGATGGGCGGTGAGCGGAATTAGGTATACTGCAAGGAAGTAGCGGATACCCAACAGAAGCATACGCGAAGGTGGCGGAGCGGTTGCCAGGAGGCTCCATATGAGAGGCCAAGAACGTCAAATATGGAGGGTTGAGGGGTAGGTGCGGGATAGTATAAGTAAGTAAGGATCTAAAACAAATAAGGGAGGATGTTGAAGCCAAATGACGGGCACTGAGAGAAAATACAGGCTGGGGCCAGGAGATGCTACAACAGCCATCGGAAGCCATCCGCATGCATCGTTAAGAAATACTTACGAAACCCATGGAATGCATTCGGAATATTTCGGGCATGTGTTGATATCTCTTAGGATGTTAAGAACATCTGTCGGAGTATGGTCCTACTTGTCCTCCTCGTCTTCCCCCTCGTCGCATTGCTGTAGATATCGCTGGTGTTGTCATTCTCGTCGGCGTCGTCATCGTTGTCCTGGTCATCACTCTCGTCGTCATCGTCGTCGTCCTCCTCGTCAGCTTCCCCGTCCTCTTCGTCGTCCCCGTCGTTGCCATCATCGTCGTCACTGGTTTCGGCGCTGTCGTCGTCGTCCTCGTTTCCGTCGTTGTCTTCGTCGTTGCCATCCTCTTCATCGTCGTCGTGTTCGTCGTTATTTTCGATATCGTCGTCGTCACTTTCGTTGTCGTCGTCGTCTTGTCGTCGTCCTCGTGGTCGTCGCTGTCATCCTGATCGTCGTCGTCCTTGTCGTCGTCGTCGTCGCCGTTGTCGGTCACTTCGTCGCCGCCGTCGTGTTAGTAGTCGTCGTCCTCTCGTCGTTCTCGTCGTCGTCGCCGTCGTTGTCGTTGTCGACGTCCATGTCATTGCCCGTGTCATTTATACCTCGGCGTCGTAATCGTCGTCATTGTGGTTGTTGTCGTCGTTGCTGTTGTAGTCATGGCCCTCCTCGTCGTCCTCGTCGGGTTCGTCGGCGTCGACGTCGTTGCTGTCGCGCCCGTCGTCGCGCCCGTCGTCGTCGTCGTCGTCGTCGTCGTCGTTGTCGCCCTCGTAGTCGTTTTCGTCCCCGTCGTCGTCGTCGTCGACTGCGTCGCTCTCGTCGTTCTCGTCGTCGCTCTCATCGTCGTAGCTGGCTCCGCCGTCGTCGTCGCCCTCGTCGTGGTGGACACCGCCGTGGTCGTCGTCGTCGCCCTCGTTCTCGTCGCTGCCGCTCCTTGCCGCCGGCTCCCTCGTAGACGTCCTAAGGCCACGCCCGACCCAGATTGCCTTGTCGTCGCCCTCGTCGCCGCCGTCGTCGTCGCACCCCTCGGCGGCGTCGTCGTCGTCGTCCTCGTCGTCGACGTCGTTGCCACCTCGGTCGTCGTTGTCATCGTCATGGTCGGCAGCGTCCTCGTCGTCGTCGTCGTCATCGTCGGTGTCGGTCACGATGTCGTCGCCGTCGTGTTCGTCGGCGTCGGCTTCGTCCTTGTCCGCGGGCTGGTCGTCCCCAGCTTCGTCGTCCATGTCATTGCCCGTGTCATCTACGGCTCGTCGTCGTCGTTGTCGCTGTTGCTGCCGTCATCATCGCCATGTTCGTCGTTCTCGTCGTCCTCGTCGTCGTCCTCGTAGTGTTCGTCGGCGTCGTCGTCGTTGCCGTCGCCCTCGTCGTCGTCGCCCTTGTAGTCTTTACTGTTGTTGGCCTCATCGTCGTCGTCGTCGTCGTTCGTTCTGTCGTCGTCATCGTCATTCTCGTCGCCCCCGTCGTGGTCGACGCCGTCGCTGTCGCTGCCGTCGCCCTCGTCGTCGTCGCTGCCGTCGCTCTCTTCGCCGTCGTCGCCCTCGTGGGTATCCTGTTGGATGGTGTGCACACTACAGGCGGCCCAGATCGGTAGGTCGACCCTGCCAAACCAAGGGTATCCTTATGTCCTGCGTCTCGCGACCCATGCCTCCGACACTCCTTTGGCAATGTAGCCCTCGGAAGGGTCTTGTGTTAAGTCGGGCCTGTCTCCCTACAGGGGGATTTTCGACGAAAAATAAAAATTTCCCCAGTGCGACTCTACCTAGGAGTTGGAGCATCTAGGAAAACAACATGTAATCTATGCTGCGCTATGCTAGGCTATGCTATGATATGATATGCTGCGCGATGCTATGCTATGCTATGCTATGATATGCTGCGCTATGCTACGCTATGGTATGATATGCTGCGCTATGATATGATATGATATGCTATGCTATGCTGCGCTATGCTATGCTATGCTGCGCTGTGCCATGCTATGCTATGCTATGATATGCTGCGCTATGCTATGCTATGATATGCTATGCTGCGCTATGCTATGTTGCGCTATGCTATGCTATGCTATGACCTGCTATGCTATGCTATGCTAATGCTGCGCTAAGCTGAGCTAAGCTGGGCTAGGCCAGGCTGAGCTGAGCTGAGCTGAGCTAAGCTAAGCTAGGCTAGGCTAGGCTAAGCTAAGCTAAGCTAAGCTAAGCTAAGTTAAGCTAGGCTAAGCTAAGATGAGATAAGCAATGCTAAGCTAAGGGGGCGTCACTGGGGGAACCACGGGGCGGATCCTGGGGGAACCGCCCGGGGCGATTTCCACTGCCCGGCCCCTTAAGCTTACAGGGTAAGAACCCTTCTAGGCAGAGCCCAGGTAGGAAATTACCTCCAAAAGTATAAAAAATAGTCCAACAATAGTCTGGGGACTTTATTGTGATAGGCTCTGCCTAGAAGGGTTCTTACTCGCTTGGCTTAAAGGGGCCGGGCAGTGCAAACCGCCCCGGGCGGTTCCCCCAGTCCCCTGGGAGCCAAGCAAAAGCAACAGCAAAGGTAAAAGCAAACGCGCAGTTCCTCCAGTGGCGCTCCCTGGGTGCCAAGCAACAGCAAAAGCAAAGGCAACAGTGAAGGCAAAAGCGAAGGCAAAGCAAAAGCATAGCATGGCATAGCATAGCGCAGCATAGCATAGCGCAGCATAGCATAGCATAGCATAGCCTAACCTAGCCTAGCCTAGTCCAGCATAGCATTGCGCAGCATAGCATAGCATAGCATAGCATAGCACAGCACAGCATCCACCATTGCTGCTGCTGCTGCTATATATATATATATATATATATATATATATATAGATGTACGTATATGTGTGTGTGTGTGCGCACGTATGTTCCATGCATGTTGTCCGTCTGTGGGCCATCTTGAGCCCTTAGTGGGGCAGCTTGAGCCCTTGGGATTCACGAAGGTTTCGCACATAGCACCGGCCGAGAGACATGAAACCCGACGTACTATCGCATGTCCTAAATGTCTTTCTATATACAAATATATGTGTATATATACATAACACCCGTGTGGAATGCTGCATGTGTGTGTGCGTGTGTGTGCGCATGTATTTGTTCAGCACCGCGTCGTAATGCCTTTCATCCTCGTTGCCGTTCAGCCTCAATTCCGTGACTCGCAGAGCCACGCAAGAGCGTGCAGCAGTGTATTGCGTCATGCGGGCATTCTTGCGGACCTCGAGTGGCGAGGCACGAAACCCAGCAAACAGTGTTGAGCATCCTGCAGAGAACAATGTTCCAAGCAGTGTTGAGACAGCAAAGGCAAAAACAAAGGCAAGAGCAAAGGAAATTCAAAGCAAACGCAAAACCAATGCGAAAGTGTACATGTAGATGTAGGTGTAGGTGTAGATGTGGATGTAGGTGTAAATGTAGATGTAGATGTAGATGTAGGTGTAGATTTAGGTGTAGATGTAGATGCAGATGTGATTATCGCTGTTGCTGTAGAGGTAGATGTAGATGCATGTGTATATGTAGCTGTAGGTGTAGATGTAGATGTAGGTCTAGATGTAGATGTAGGTGTCGATGTAGATGTAGGTGTAGATATAGATGTAGACGTAAAGAACTCCCCAGTGCCCCGCCCTCATATCCGTGCCTGCTTGCTTGTGCTGCTGTTTTGGCGACTTGCTGCCTGCTTCTGCTGCTGCTTCACCTACGGCGTGGCGTCGACGGTTATGGCGCAACTACTACTATTACTACGACTACGATTACGGCTACTACTACTACTACTACTACTACTACTACTACTACTACTACTACTATTACTTCTTCTACTACTACTACTACTACTACTACTGCTGCTGCTACTACTACTACTACGACTACTCCTACTACTACTACTACTACTACTACTACTACTACTACTACTACTACTACTACTACTACTACTACGACTACTACTACTACTACTACTACTACTACTACTACTACGACTACTACTACTACTACTACTACTACTACTACTACTACTACTACTACTACTACTACTACTACTACTACTAGCTACTACTACTACTACTACTAGCTACCTACTACTACTACTACCACTACTACTACTTACTACTACCACTACTACTACTACTACTATACTACTACTACTACTACTACTACTACTACTACTACTACACTACTACTACTGCTACTACTACTAACTACTGCTACTACTACTACTACTACTACTACTACTACTACTACTACTACTACTACTACTACTACTACTACTACTACTACTACTACTACTACTACTACTACTACTACTACTACTACTACTACTACTACTACTCTACTACTACTACTACTACTACTAGTACTACTACTACTACTACTACTACTACTACTACGACTACTACTACTACTACTACTACTACTACTACTACTACTACTACTACTACTACTACTACTACTACTACTACTACTACTACTACTACTACTACTACTACTACTACTACTACTACTACTACTACTACTACTACTACTACGACTACTACTACTACTACTACTACTACTACTACTACTACTACTACTACTACTACTACTACTACTACTACTACTACTACTACTACTACTACTACTACTACCGCTACTACCGCTACTACTACCGCTACTGCTACAACTAGGGCGATGAGGAGAAGGAGGAGGACGGCGTTTACCGCTCCTACTAATGTTGCTTTCCTAGAGGCTCCAACTCCTAGGTAGGGTCGCACTGGGATAACTTTGATTTTTGTCGGGGTGATGTTTCTTTTTCGTCTTGTGCGCTCACGCGCGTCCTGCCCACTCGAGCCCGACTGCACTCCCATGCCCCGCCCGGCCCGGCCCGCCGCCCTGCCCCTCGGGGCGCGTCCGCCCGGCCCCGCCCGTGAGGGCCGCTGTGCCGCAGCCCTCGCCGCCGTCGTGGTCGCCGACGCCGTTGTCGCCGTCCTCGTCGTCGGCGGCGCCGTCGTCGTCACCTCCGTCGCCGTCCGCCTCGACCTCGACGCCGTCGTCATCCTTGCCCATCGTCGTCGTCGTCGTTGGCCTTGTTTGCGAGCCCTTCCCGCTTTCGGCGCACGTGGCGAGCAGCCAAAGGCACGAGGCGCTTCGCACCCCCTCGGACCCCCCCCCCCGCGCGGCCGCGCGACGTGCTCCCGCCTCCTGTACCGCCACGCAAGTGCCCCGCCCTCTGCGCTGCCCCGTGCCCGAAGGGATTGAACCACACGCAACGACGAACCGGGCCCGGGGGCCAGGGGGCCGCGACCCCTACACCTTAGGCGATGCTTAAGAAAACTTAGATTTTCGGCCAGAGTCTCGTTTATTCTTAATGTTTCAATGTAAACCCTAAGATTTGAATAGAATTTTTGGGGTTTTATTCAAGTTCTGAGACTATGAATTTCTTAACCCATGATTTCTTAAGCATTTCGCAGGGTGTACGACAAATGTGTGGCCCGGGGCCCAGGCAAGGCCTGGGACCGCCTTTGGGCCGCCCCAGATCGTCAGGGAGCGCCATCCCGGCGGCCCCGCGACAGCTCGGAACCACCCTCGAGACGGCCTCCCGGGGCCTCTCACGGTCACCACGAGCCTGGCCTCCAGGGGCGCCCAGGACAGCCCCGGAGACCTCCAGGAGACCCTCTAGAGCGCATCCCAGAAGCTCAAAACCTTCAAAACCTAAGGACAAGCAGTGATTTTGGCCTTCTCGCCTTTCCGCTTTCGGTGGGCTGTTCGCGCTTCCGCGAGGCCACCAGGAGGCCCAGAGGGCCGGGGGACGCCTTCAAAAGGGTCCCAGGAGGTTACGAGAAGCCCGAAGAAACCCCCCAGAGGCCCCCCAGGACGCCCCAAGCGGCCTCCAAGAGGCCCCCAAGAGGCTCTCAGGAGGCCTCACAAACGTCCCCCGAGGCCTCCAAGAATCCCCAACAGGCTTCCAGGACGCCCCCAGTAGTCTCCAAGAGGCCACAAGTGACTCCAAGAGGCCCGAAAAGGTCCCCAGAAAACTCCCCAGAGCTGCCCGAGAAGCCCCAAGAGAGCCCCAAGACGGCCCCAAAGTCCGATCAGGCCTTTCACAAGCCCCCCAGAGCTGCTCAAGAGGCACCAACTTGTCCCAGAACGGTCCCAGAGGCGCCCAAGACGGCCCACACAGTCACTGGAGGGCCCTTGGAGGGACCCAAGATCTTGGCATCGCTCGGACGTGTGCACGTTTCCTTCGGCGAGGGCCATCGAGGAGCATTCCCTGATCATTTGGCGAAAAAGCCACGCACGAAACCGAACAAAAACACAGAGAATGGACGTCCGAGCGATGGCCAGAGATGGGGAATTCCAACTGGCATTTTGAGCCCTCCGCCTCCACGAAGCTCCCGAGGCCGCCACCGGGCTTCCAATGGGTCGCCCAGGAGCTCCAGCAAGCCTCGAAAAGGCCCACAGGAGGCTCCAAGAAGAGGCCCCCTCGATGCTTCCAAGAGGCTCCCATGAGGCCTCCCGATAGGCCCCCAGAAGCGTATGGGACGCCTCGCGTCTGCATCCTGCACTCCATTCCTAGAGAAGCCTCAAAAGGCCCCAAACTGACGATCCAACTCATGGCTTCAAGAGGCCCCTGAGAAACTTGCCGCGAGGCCCCGCCCCGAACTCAGAGTCCAGGTCAGGGGTGTGCCGACATGGGCGGGGCGGAGGGATGCGAACATTGGCTCTGGGGCTGTCGGTGGAGCTCCTTGTGGGATACGATCCGTGCGAGGAGACAGTCAACATACACAGGAGGACGTGATGTTATGCGATTCCTCCCTGTTCGGACCCACGTGAAGCTACATCCCTCTTGGGCACGATCCGTGTGAAAGATGTGCCGAGACGGGGGGAGGGACGCCATGCCATTTTTGATCCTGGACCCAAGCGTAGAGCTCACGGGGGGGCACGGTCCGTGTGAGGACCGTGCCGAGCTTGGCAGAGGGACGCTATGTGAAGCCTGTCATGCTCTCGGTCCCCCGGCCGCCCCCTGTACACAATGGCAAAGGGTCCACCCCCCTAAGCCCCCCGGGCCCGGGGCCCGTTTTGGGCACCGAGAGAGCTCCAAGAGCACCCACGATGGCTTCAGATTACCCGAGAGGCCTTCAAGACGACCCGAGAGCGCCCCAAGATCGTTTCAAGACCGCCCAATATAGCTTCAAGACCGGCCAGACCCAGAGCTCCCCACAAAGCGCAAGACTGCCCCAAGAGGTCCTTCAAGGAGGTCGCAAGAGGCTGAAATCGCCCCATTCCTGTTTTGGGGATCGTGCATATTTTGCATTTTCGCTGTCTTGTTTTAGCCGCGTCCAACATGGCGCGGAGGGCCCCCAAAAACTTGCCCCCGAAAAGCAAACGAGGCCCCCATAGAGGCCCCAAGACGGCCCAGGCGAGTCCCAAGACGGCCCAACAGACAGCCAAAGAGAGCACCAAGAGGGCCCCAAGAGGAACCCGAGCGCAGGAGCTCGAATTGACACCTTCGTCGCCGGCGCCGCAATAGCTTAATGGTTTCGCGCCTGGCAGACGGAATCGCGGACTCGTTTGGCGTGCGTATGTATGCTCTCCTGGCACAGGCGCGCGTTTGGCGTGGCTTGCCCACGCGACCACGCGGATGCACGGCTTAGTGGTGGCGGTGGAGCCCGAAGAATGCCGCCGAGACCGCGCGCTTGGCAGACGGAATCGCGGACTCGTTGGGCGTGCGTATGTATGTTCTCCTGGCACAGGCGCGCGTTTGGCGTGGCTTTGCCCGCGCGTCCACGCGGATGCACGGCTCAGTGGCGGCGGCGGAGCCCCAGGAATGCCGCCGAGACCGCCGGCAGATTCTTGCGAGGCCGAGGTGCGGCGCCAAGAAGCCTCCTCCTCCTCCTCCTCCTCCTCCTCCTCCTCCTCCTCCTCCTTGTCCTCCTCCCCCTCCTCCTCCTCCCCCTCCTCCTCCGCTCCTCCTCCCCTCCTCCTCCTCCTCCTCCTCCCCTCCCCCTCCTCCTCCTCTTCCTCCTCGCTCCTCCTCCCCCTCCCCCTCCTCCTCCTCCTCCTCCCCCTCCTCCCCCTCCTCCTCCTCCTCCTCCTCCTCCTCCTCCCAACCCGCCCAAGAGGGCCCGACCAGGCAGAGGCCCCCCGTGTGCGCGTGCGGCCGCGCCTCCGGCACCTCCGACCTCCGGCCGCCCTGCCGCGCCCGCCCGGGGCGCTCCCGAGCCTGCCGCGGCCCCCCCTTTTTTTGGAGGCCCCCCGTGCCGTGGGGTCCTGGCGTGGCCCCGACGCGGCCCACGACCCCTCCTCCTCCCCCTCCTCCTCCTCCCCTCTCCTCCCTCCTCTCCTCCTCCTCCTCCTCCTCCTCCTCGCTCCTCCTCCTTCCTCCTCCTCCCTCCTCCTCTCCTCCTCCTCCTCCTCCTCCTCCCCCTCCTCCTCCTCCTCCTCCTCCTCCTCCTCCTCCTCCTCCTCCCAACACGCCCCCCATGCCGTGGGGTCCTGACGTGGCCCCGACGCGGCCCACGGAGCGTGTACTCCGATGGCCCATACAGTAGGTTACAAGAAGCCCGAAGAAGGGATGGAACCACATGCAACGAGGAACCGGGCCCGGGGGCCCTTTTGGAGGCCCCCCTTGCCGTGGGGTCCTGACGTGGCCCCGACGCGGCCCACGGAAGGTGTAGTCCGATGGCCCATACAGCACTCCAGATTTCGTAGTAAAAGGGAGGGGGGTCTCACTTCGGGGGGGGTCTCTTCCAGGCCATCTTGACGTGACCCCGACGGGGTCCTGGCGTGACCCCGACGTGGCCCACGGAGCGTGTAATCCGATGGCCCATACAGTACCCATCGGTCGTTGAAAGTAGGTATGTTTGGACTCCCAGATCCCAATCTACTTTCAGCGCCTTCCTACCTCAAGAGTCGAGTGGCTTTCCCTCTTCCCTCCTCCTCAGGAGGCGGGCGGAAACCCAATCTATTTCCAACGCCTTCCTACTTCATGTTTCTACCTACTTCTTCCGACCGATGGGTACAGTAGTCTCCAAGAGGCCCATACAGTAATCCGATGGCCCAGACAGTACTCCAGATTTCGTAGTAAAAGGGAGGGGGTCTCATTTCGGGGGGGGCCTCTTCCAGGCCATCTTGACGTGACCCCGACGGGGTCCTGGCGTGACCCCGACGTGGCCCACGGAACGTGTAATCCGATGGCCCATACAGTACCCATCGGTCGTTGAAAGTAGGTATTTTTGGACTCCCAGATCCCAATCTACTTTCAGCGCCTTCCTTCTTCAAGAGTCGAGTGGCTTTCCCTCTCCCCTCCTCCTCAGGAGGCGGGGCGGAAACCCAATCTATTTCCAACGCCTTCCTACTTCATGTTTCTACCTACTTCTTCCGACCGATGGCCCATACAGTACTCCAGATTTCGTAATAAAAGGGAGGGGGGTCTCATTTCGGGGGGGGTCTCTTCCAGGCCATCTTGGAGGGCCTGGGGGGGTCTGGGGACGATGTTTTGGAGGTTCTCCCACGAGGGGGGGTCTGAAATGGCTTGTCTTGGAGGGTCCAGACCCCCTCCCTTTTATTACGAAATCTGGAGTAATCCGATGGCCCATACAGTAGTCTCCAAGAGGCCACAAGTGACTCCAGGAGGCCCGAAAAGGTCCCCAGAAAGCTCCCCAGAGCTGCCCGAGGAGCCCCAAGAGAGCCCCAAGACGGCCCCAAAGTCCGATCAGGCCTTTCACAAGCCCCCCAGAGCTGCTCAAGAGGCACCAAATTGTCCCAAAACGGTCCCAGAGGCGCCCAAGACGGCCCACACAGTCACTGGAGGGCCCTTGGAAGGACCCAAGATCTTGGCATCGCTCGGACGTGCATTTTTCCTTCGGCGAGGACCCTCGAGGAGCATCCTTGATCATTTTCAGAAGGGAACAAAAACACACAGACACAATTAATCGTCGACGCCCAGGAAAATATGGGAAAATATGGGAAGTGGGGGGGAAGACAGAAACCCAGGGAATATGGGAACATATGGGGAATCTTTTTATCTGTGTGTGTGTTTATTTGTGTGTCCTGGGGCCCCTTCACATTTGGCGACAAAACCACGCACGAAACCGAAAAAAGCACAGGGAATGGACGTCCGAGCGATGGCCAGTACACAGTGGAGACGACTGAGAACAGGTCCTCAGATCTGCTTGGAAGCTCTTGGCGGGATCCTCTCTGAGCAGGCCCAGGGACCTGTTCGAAACAGAATCGTGCCTGGCCAGACGGGGGAAGGCACGCCTTCGGCGTGCCCGTGCTGCGCGCCCGATGCTGCTCCTCGTCGCTGTCCGTGGGAAGCCTCTCGGGGGCCTGTTGGGGCATCTTCAAGGAGGAGGAGGAGGAGGAGGAGGAGGAGGAGGAGGACGAGGAGGAGGAGGAGGAGGAGGAGGAGGAGGACGAGGAGGAGGAGGAGGAGGAGGAGAAGAGGGGGGAGGACAAGCTAGGTGCGAACGCGTCATATCTGACATCCTACCCCTCCCTCCCATCCCTTACCATGGCGCAGATCCCCTCTCTACTCGCACAGTCGGATGTCGAGCAGGGCAAGGATCCCGAAAGGGTACGCGATGCATTGTAGAGCACGGCATGGCATGGCGTAGAAGAGCACCGCAAAGCGTAGTATCAACCTAGCATTGCATTGCACGCCGTGGCATGGCACGGGAAATGACGCCAGCGCTGCAGCGGGAGCACGAGTCGAAGCAAGCGGAAGCGCGGAAATGAGGCCAGCGTTGCAGCGGGAGCACGATTCGGAACGAGCGGAAGCGCGGAAATGAGGCCAGCGCTGCAGCGGGAGCACGATTCGGAACGAGCGGGGTCCGAAAATGAGGCCGGCGCCTCAGCGAGAGCAGCATTTTGAAAAAAAAATGCAAGCGAAAACCCATCTCCCGGGAAACCTGTGTGTAAAAAAACAGGACGCGGGGGGGGGGGGGCAACACTCCCAGCACGTCATCAGGGGAAGAGGGAGAGTAGTATTCGTATTGAGTAATTGTGGAGGAGGAGGAGGAGGCGGAGGCGGAGGAGGAGGTCATCCCGGGGCGGAGGACTCGCAGTGTCGGTGCCATCGTGAATGTTTTGGGCCGTCTTGGGGCCCTCTTGAGCGGTATGGGGGCCTTCTGGGGCCGCTTTGGCGCTCTCTTGGGGGTCTCCGGGGAGGCGTCTCGGGCTGTCTCTGGCCGTCGGAAGCTAGCGAAGGCGGCAACGATAAACATTTCTCTGTACCTACGTATTGCCCCCGCAAAGCACCCAAATTGCAGCTGAGGAGTGGAGGCGGATGGGCGCCTGAAATGTCCGCTTGCGAGAACGGCCTCATCATATTGTCGATACGGCTGCGGAGTTCAGCTTGCTGATGGGGGGCGACGTTCGTGATGTGATGTCGACATGGTTATATGAACGCGCTTGGAACAGCATTAGGGGCCGAACGACCCCACTCCTGGCAGCTGGAATGGTGAGAAACCGATGGCCCAACCACACTTCCTGGACCTAGGACAGCTGGAATGTTGAGAACCGGATGCCCCTGCCACAAGTTCTGGATTTGCGACGGCGGAAACCGAACCGCAACGCCATAATGAGGCTAATGTTTGGATCTGCGAGAGCTGATATCGAACCAAAACATTCGACCCCCCCTGTGGAGATCCTGGTGATAAGAATCATTCAAGTGAAATGGACCCAGACACCACATTGAGCCTCAGTTCTCGACCAAATCGAGCCCAAACGGAACAGTGACTTCGATTTCAGGATCTGAGAGAGAACACCACAGTGAGCTTCGCTTCAGGACGGAATCGAGCCATATCACCCGAGTGAGTCCCAGTTCTGGATTTGCAAGAGCTGAAATCAAGCCAGAACACCGTAGTGAGTCGATTACGAACAGCCGCCGGGCCAGTGTGACGCCTCCCCCCGGACACCCATGTGGAGATGCGGGCGTGAGGACGTCGAGCCATTGCTGGAGGGTTTCTCCGAAGGGCTTGGCGTCGAGCCAAAACACCACTGGGTGTGCTGTCGGGCCGCCTGTGCCAGGCCGCTGCCGGGCTTGGGAAACGCCTCCCCCCGGCCCGCCCCCCCCCCCCCCCGGGGGAGGTTCTGGGCGAGAGGAGATTCGGGTAATGAGGCAGCCACAGGACGCTCGCCCCAACGTGGTTGAGCCGTGGATCGTTCCTGGTTCCTCTCGGGCCTCTCTTTCGGGCCAGGCTCCTCGGGGGCCTCCCAGGCTGCCCGGGAGGCTTTTGAAGGTCTCCCGGAGGCCCCGAAGCGGGAGTATCAAACAGGTTGGCCGACCGGCTGGAGGTGGCGGGCCCCAGGCCCAAGGCCCGCGCATGTATGCACAGTTGACGTACGTGTTTATGTGCGTGTTTGTGCGTATGTATGTTTGTGTGTGCATGTCAGTGAGTACGTAAGTATATAGGTGTGTATGTGTATGTGTGCATGTATGCATGTATGTAGGTTTGTAGGTATGTAGGTATGTAGGTATGCATGCATGCATGCGTGTATGCATGTTTGTATGCATGCATGTACTTATGCATGTGTGTATGTATGTATATATGTACGTACGCACGTATGCATGTATGCATGTACGTATGTATGCATGCCTGTATGTATGTATGTATGTGTGTATGTATGTGTGTATGTGTGTACGTGTGCCTGTATGTGTGTCTGTGTGTATGTATGTTTGTATGGATGCATGTATGTAGGTAGGTATGTATGTATGTATGTATGTGTATATATGCGTACGTGTGTATGGATGTATGATAGGTATATGTATGGCATACGCATAGACACTTAATGTTGTGCATTGTATTTGCTGGGGTCGGAGACCCCCCTGTGCAGGAGTCAGCTTGGCATGGCATGATTGGAGCATCACTGACAGGTCCTCTTGGCTCAGGAGATGAGCGCAACGTCATCAATCTAGCTACATGGTAGCGGAGAGCGGTTCCCACGCCACGGGAGCTGAGCTCGCGCGCCACGCGACCTCCCCGCCCGAGAGGGCTGCTTGTCAGCAGCGATGGCGGCGATCGAGGTGGTCGACGTGCGGACTGACATGCGGTTGCAGCGGTTCGACGGCACGGACGAGAAGTGGGGAGACGGCAGTCTCAGGTTCGAGGCCTACACCGCGCTGCTCGGCTTCGAGGAGTTCATGACCGCGGCGGGCCAGAGGCAGGACCCGCTGCTGAACGACCAGCTCGACGAGCGCGCGAGGCAGGTCAGCCAACGGTTGTGGCACCTGCTGATCATGTACTGTGAGGGTAAGGCGATGGGAGTGGTCAAGCTCTCGCGCAAGAACGGTCTCGAGGCGTGGCGCCAGCTCAAGAATGAGTACGAGAGTCGTGCAGGGAATCGCTGGGCGGCGATGCTG